GCATTAGACATTTCATATGACACCCATTCAAGGGCTCCAGAGCCACCTCTAAATCTGCTGTTTGGATATAAATCAAGCATTGGATTATTTTTAGGAAAGAGTCCAAGGCATCTCAGCTAACAGCAAGAATGACACAGTGATGTGGTCAATCGAAAGCTTATGCTCTGGTCATGGGTGCAGGATGACTGATGCTGTGACCCACTGAGGACACAGGATGTTCTCAAAAATAGCATGACCCTGTGACAGCACATCCTCTTGCAAATTGTTGAGTTCACGTAAATGAGAGTAGGAATCATTGTAATTCATCCTTAGGCTATCTGTCAAAGTCACTGCCCCCCCCCCCCCCTCCCCTCTTTCAGTCCCCTGTGCACTTTAGGGGGTTTGTGACTGAATATTAATGTTGCGTTGATTATCCAATTTGTTTAAAGCAGTGGCCGTTGAGAGGACCAAGGAAAACCTCCTGACTCGTGTCTGACAATGTCCCTGAGAGGTTTGAGCAGTCGTCCAAACTTCTCAAGGTCACATTTGAAAACATGAATTAATGAATGTATATTGCTGTGAAGGACTGATGTTCAGCACTGCACCACATGATATTTTGATTAACATAAAATTGCAATGCTGCCTCTATAGCGCTTCGGACCGGTGATCATCGCAGTAGTTTATAACAGCCAGCTGACATTACTATGGCTACTCATGCAGTGCAAAACTGCATCAAGGCCATTTGTTGTCATTGGTTAGATGACTCATATCTCCTTCATTGACAACAAAGTGTGATGTAGATTGTTTACACAAGTGTGCTTACACCAAATTAAAATGATAATATATTCATGTTCTGATGGATTATCTCCCCCTATCCAGGTGTCGGACAGGTGCGACTATGTTTTCATGAATGGCAAAGAGATAAAGGGCAAGGTGAAGTTGGTGGTGAACTTTACTTACAGCTACCTGAGTGCTCAACTTGAACTGAATGTGTGGATGCCTCGACTCCCCCTCCAGATCGAGGTGTCAGATGCAGAACTGAGCCAGATCAAAAGCTGGAGGATACCGATACTTACTTCAAAAAGGTGGGACCCACAAACAATTTATTTAACATAAAAACGTATCTTATTTGGTTTTGTAGATAGGATATATAATAGCCACCCCTAATCCATACACATAATATTTCTCCAAGGATTTAAGGTTTTGATTCCATTAGATAATGAACTACATTATCTCAATCTGATCCAATCAGGCAAAGAGACAGGGTTGAGTGATTGGAGTTTAGCAGGTCAAAGCATTTACCATGTGACAGGTGTGACTTGTACGTGTGCTTTGCAGAAATGGTTGGAACAGTGAAGAAGACGACAGGAAAGGGAAGGGCTGCATGCTTCAGTATCAGCATGCCCTGGTGCGGGTGCTAACTCACTTCGTGGCAGAGCAGGCAGACCCTCGGGATCCTAAGGCCTATTTCCTGGGCTCGGATTGGCAGGTGGATGTCACAAGGATGGTTCAATACTTCATGAAGGTGGAGGACCCTCGAGTGGCAAGGTTGCAGTCTGGAAGGGTGCTGTCAGGACGAGACCTCGGGACAACCACCATCCAGGTAATGACCTGAAATCCTAATCCTGTTACCAATGTCATAGCAATAAGCAGCTAGACCTCAGGTCAGATGGAGTGTTTCATTTGCTTTACTTGCACTTGTTGAACCTGATATACTTATCTCTTCAACCTCTGATTTAGTGTATCTGATTTTATATGACAGGTGTTTTCTCCACTATCTGATGCAATCCTGGCTAAGAAAACTATCAAAGTCGTGGATGACAAAGTGACCATTACAGAGTTGGGCGTCCAGCTGGTTTCAGGCCTCTCCATGACCTTACAGCTCAGTACTGGAAGCAATAGGGCCATCCTGGCAACCACAACCACACAGGAGGTCCTACAGAGCCCCAAACAGGTACATGACTGAATCCATATAAATGACTAAAAGATGAAAAGTCGGATTAAAAGTACAATTACAATTTCTCCTCTTTTCTGTTCTCTTAGGAAGCTTTGGTCAGTGTCTGGCTGCAGTTCAGTGATGGCAACCAGACCCCTCTTGACATTTATGATCCTGCTTACTACAGAGTCATGGTGGTGTCTCTAGATCAGGGGGTGGTGTCAGTGCAGGGCACGCCTCCGACTGTGGTGGCCGAGGGTGAGGGTGAAGGAGTCCTGGTTAGAGTAGAGATGTCCATCTGTGAGTCCTGCCAGAAGTCCAAACGCAAAAGCACTGTGGCCGTGGGCAACGGCAGCCTCAAGGTCAAGTTTCGATTGAACAGTCGGCGGCTAGAGAGCAATACTGGTAGCACGGACAGCAGCACTATTAGCAACAAGGACAATGACAGTGATTATGGGAATGATGGAGAAGAGGTGGGAAGCGTGAGGAAGCAAAGGAAACCATTCCAAAACCCTCCACGGCGCAGTCCCACCTCAGATAGAGAGGAAAGTGTCATGCAGAAGATTACAACCACCATCAAAACTACAGAACGAACTTTCATCACCAGTGGGAGCCTCGGAGGAGTGGGAAAGACAACTAATTCAAGAAGCGCCAACATTCCTACCAGCATCGTGAGCAGCCCGGCAGATGGCAGCAAGGTGTATGGGTCAGACAATATGATAGTGGAGGATATGACCAGCTTTGCTAGCACTGTGAAGGCGCCTGGGAACCTGGTGAACTATAACTTTCCCACCAAGGTGGAGGTACCTGGTCAGGAGACATCAGAGGTAGAAATAGGTGGAGAAGAAATGTTGGCCAGTAGGCCGCTCACAGACTTGGAGATTGGCATGTATGCTCTGTTGGGCGTCTTTTGCCTGGCCATCTTGGTCTTTCTGGTTAATTGTGTCACCTATGTTATTAAGTTCAGGCACAAGCAGCCTCCCTCGCACGGCCAGGAACCCACAGGGCACAGGCATGACTGGGTATGGCTTGGCACAGACGCTGAGCTGGTAATGAGCATGCCAGGCAGTCCAGTCCAGCAAGAAACCCAGACTACAACCACCGTTATAGACATCGGGCCTGATAAGACTGCCTCTATGTCCAGAAGGCCCAGTTGCCTAGCCTCTGTTACGGACTCGCCCATCAGCTGTGGGGGCAAACCTATGCACAGCGAGTCCATCCACTCGCCCACCAGCAAGCGAAAGAGAGTCCAGTTCACCACCTTCTCCACTTTAGAGCGCCAGCATTCGCCACGCCTCCCGCCCAAGGAGAATGGCTATGGCATCCACTGGGTTGGGAAGCAGGACAGTTATGAGGAGCAACCTCAAATGACCATTTCAAAGCCTGGAGACGATTTGTAATACAGAACCTGATCAGACCTCACATGAACAGAAGATGTGGCTTTGATCACCTCTATGCCTTTCTTAACTGTCTAGAATATGTGATTTTGGAATTGCCCTCCTCTACATTTCATTACCTATCAAGGCCTTTTACATGAACTGTATATTATTGTACATTTTGGAGTGTGGATATGTGTTAAATGGTTAATCAGATGGACTTTTAATACACAGCATTTAAAGCCACCAAATGCTTATACTGCATGTGGATTTGTTTTTCAATTGTTGCACTCACATGCTGGCATAGAAAGTACAAATAATGACTGAATAAGTATTCCGAATAACAAATGCCAACTATTGATTTCCAGTTATAATACTGAACTCAACAAATTGTTTTCATATGTAATATCTAAGGCCCCTTTCTTTGTAAATATTAAATGAATCACATTTTCATTTATTTTTCTCATTAAAACACCGTAATCTTAAAAAGGTCCCATGTCATGGCCATTTCTAGTGATCATAATTCCATTGTTGAGGTCTACTAGAACAGATTTACATTGTTCAATGTTCCAAAATCACATTGTTTTCTCATACAGCATCTCTGTATAGTATGTGTATTCACTCTTTGTTCTACACGCCTTGTTGGAGCTCCTGCCCCCCCTCCCTATGAGCCCACTGTGCTCTGATGTGTGTTTATGTGTTACAATGGCGTTTGTTAGCAACCAGAAAATAACACCAGTAAGGACAAACAGATGAGAATGCTGCGTGGGGTCTGGGTGCCGTGTTGCGGGGCTCGCTGCTTCGCCCTTTGAGACTCGAGGAGCTGACAGTGTGAGTTGGCTTACTGGTGTCGTTTCCTGGTTGCTGCATGGGGTCTGCGAGACGGCGAAACTCAGCCTGAGCACACACACGTGACGTGAGTGTGTGGCGAACTGTGAGTGGAGATCCACGCAGCTGCGGCTGAGAAAAGATAAGGCTGAGTGAGTATGTGTGTGTGTGAGGAGCTCCACGGATTGGTCCATTTGGTCGTCGTTACATCACTTGGTACCAGGAAGAAAAAAATGGAAAAAGAAAATCTCCAACGAGGCGTTCTGGGGCAGCATAGACAGGTCTTTTCTGTGTTAGAGTTTTACTCTCTACAGGGTGTACTTTGAGGGTTTTTGACTCTGCAGACCGTTTACATGCAAAAAAAGCGTCATAACACACAAGGGGACGGGTAGTAACCGGAAAAGCATGACATGGGACCCTTAACTATTTTATTTCCCTAATACAGTATGCAGGACAGCTATTGATGTTTATTTATATTTTGTGTCATTCTAAATGTTACATTTGCATCAAAAATGTTGCAAAACTTTTGAGGGTTAACATTAAATGTTTTGCTAACCAGCCCGTGCCCCAGCGTGTTGACAAATCAACCTTTGTAATGACAAATTACAAGAAGCCTTTGTGCCCCTCTGCCCTTTAAACAAATTGAATTTTTGCTTGGCTCCTGGATGTCTGCAACCCAACCGTTGAATGTGGTAGCAATCAGACTGGAAGAAATTGAAAATACTGGAACAGTTGCAGAAAGGGTACATTAGCTGATCCACTGAGTTTGTGGAGAAATTTAGATTTTTGCATTTTGCATGTATTATTTTGGCGTAGGGAATGAAATAGAGGGAATGAAAATACATTTTTAAATACCCAACCATTCAAAAACAAACAGTGGAGTTGTTTGCCTCTTTTATTAAGTAGACTGATAAGAAGAGAAGCCTTATTTATATATTTATTCCAAACATAAATAACAGTACATTAGCAATGTAGGTATACATTACATATTAACAGGACAAACAACCATTTATTGTCTGGTTCTTTGGTTCAAAGTGCTCTGCAGCATAATTTCAATTTGGCAGTGCAGATAAAACAAGATTATTTTGTACAGCATCTTTGTAGCCTGATTTCCTAAAAGACAGTGAATAAAGACATCTGTGATCATTTTACCTACAGCATGTAAATGCAGCAGGGTAATGCCCAGCTCTTCCTGAGAAAGTTTACAGAGTGGGGTTGAGCGCTGTCACCTTGCGCTCAGAGCAGAGTGTCCACCAGCCGCCGGTAGGTTTCTCTCTCCTGATTCAGGCCGTGATGCTCTTCCACGTAAAGTTTTCCATTCCTTACCACTCTCTCTCTCAGCTCGTGATCTGATAACAGCCTGTGAGATTGATGCACAAATTCCTGGCAGGGATAAAAGCAAAACGATTCTCATTTACTGACAAAAGCAACTTAAAGCTTGCCATTGAAGTGGCTTCAAGAATTTTCTTTTAAAGAACAAAAGATTATCCAAGGCATGAGAACAGAACTCAAATAAGAGCCTGTGCTGATTAGTAAATACTTCAAAAATATCTGTACATTGCCAAATAGGGGAGGGCTTCAAGTCAAAAACAGTCTATCCAAATACTGTAATGCTACAGTTTAACAATAAAAACCAACCAGCTGTCACATTGACATGGTGAGGGAAAGATGAGGATATAAATGAGACAATTAAGAAATGTTTAATATTGTCATCTCTGAACATTGACTGAGATGTGTATTCACACATTATCCTGAATCCTAGCAGTTCATCTTTTGGCCCAGCAGACTAAAAGAAGCCTCCAACAAAATGAATGAAAGTTCCTCAAACGTTGGCTTCCTACAACATGGCACTCAACATTTTTCGAAGCAGAAGGAGCCAATGAGCACACAACGTTTTAGCCACTGCCAGTCAGCAAGCCAATTCACTTTACTTCATTCAAGTGACGTGATTATGTCTGGGGAGGCTCTTGGTAAGGAACGTCTTCTATGTATGGCCATGAGAGCTATAAATCCTTAGCAACAGGATTAAAGCTCAATTTATGAGCAGCACGCCTAGTGTAAATTATAGAGCCAGACAGGAAGTGCCATTTTCCTCTTAAAAAGCTTTTAAGGGCTAGTGCGTTTGTTCCTTTTGACACATTTCTTGATATGTACATTCATCATGTCATTACTTTTAGTCAATAATACATAGGAGGGGATTTTTAAGCAGGCAGAAAAAGTCTAGAGTGCGGTCGACTGCAAACATATTATTTTGTTGACAGAATAACACTCGCTGCCCATCGGCCCTGGCTGGGGTCGTGGTTTATTCAGCCCAGGTCGCAACAACCATCTGTGAGAGCTTTCTCCTGGCAGCTGAGCTGAGCACACGTGACCCCCCGGGGAGGACTTATCCCTGCCACTACAACAACATCACGCAAGAGCATGGCGTCTTGAAAGCACCATGCTCAACTGCCTTAACATATTCTCCTTTTATTTCAAATCTCATTAAATATTAGACTGATAAGCTCTCATTGGACTTATTCCACTTTGCACTTTCCTGCTATGTGTTGCATCACCACAATGTGGTGTCTTTGCTCTGTCCCTGAATGTTAGACTTCTTGATCCTAATCCAAGCACCTAGGGAAACATCAGCTCCTTTTGCTATATTGTATCTGCTTAGTTTGGATTAATGATAATAATTTAAAGTAAGAAGTTTGACAAATTGATGTAAAGGTTTCCTTTTTAAAATTGAGAGTTTAAGTTAAAGTAAGGTAAGTTATTAACAGTCAACACATTTTGGTCAATTGAAGTGATAGAAGCGGACATTGGCTGCAGTGCTAATACATAATATCCTCTCAGACTGTGGTACATCAACACAGACAGTGTTAAAGCCAAATGGGGATTAATGCATGTATGTGGTGGTGACAGTGTATGGCTTTAAATACCTGAGGAGACGAGTACAGCAGGCCAGTGAACTCATGCTGGACTACGGCTGCATTTCCTGGAATATCCCTGGCCAACACAGGTACCCCGAGATCCATGGCCTGTTGGAGCAAACAGATTACATTCGCAAAAGTGGCTAAAATTCACAATGTCACAGAGTAAAGTCACTTATTCACAGACTCATTTATTTGATCACTATCAAGAAAAAAAGCACCTTAAGCACCTTGGAAGTTGTACAGCTCAGCCATTCTGCTCTTTAGTGCCTGAGTTCACTTACACAATTAACAGTGTGCATCAGCCATTACCTTCAGCAGGTTGTTGAGTGAAACATACTAATCGGACGTTAAGCCAGCTGTGAATTGTCTCAATCGACTGTGTTTTAAAGAGATTAAGTGGATTTGCAGGTTTTGCTCACTCAAGATTGGAATAAAGCAATCAATTTGGATAATTGTCCCTGAAGTGGTCAGATAACATTGTAGCTGAGCAAGAAACAGCAGGATAAGGACTCCTGTTAATATTTACACCGTTTCATTTTGACAAGGGCTTTGGATGGCACATTTTCAGTTTTTGAAAAAAATCGAATTCACTTTACCAAAATGGTATTCTACACCATACATAATGCATGAGCTATACAAAGATACAATTGTGTGTAGAGCATTGAAGTCAGAACATGATTTTGTGCTACGTATCAGCCCTTCAGATATTTACCTCCAAAATGGCTGCTGACATGCCCTCTGAGACGGAGCTGTTTACCACGGCGAAGCACCGTTTCATGGCAGCGTGAAGCTCCTGTTGGCTCCTCTCCTGGGCCAAGAAGACCCCTGCTGCTCTACAGAAGCAGCGACAAAGCTCAGTTCTGCGTGACTCAGGGCTAACAGAGGCGTGAATGATGCTAAAGGGCAGTGACAAGCTCAGGGCAGGAAACACAGCTGCACTATATGGGACATGCACGGAGAGTCCAGGTGAACTCCTAACCAGAGAAGGCAGCTTCCTGCCACAGAGCTTTGTTGTGCTGAAGGCCCTTGGCGAAAAACTGAAAGATCAGCAAGGACTTGAGTGGGAGGACATATTAAAAAAAAAAGAGAGGATCTTGGCGCTCCCCTCAGATGTTCATTCTGTTCACATAATGTCAAGATAAATGTAATGGGGCATATAGAAGGATAAGTAGTCTTCAAACAGGAGTAAATTATTGGCAAGACTGTCAGATATCAAATGTTCTTTTATGAGCTGGGTGACTGGTAAAGAAAAGAAAAGATGGCTTACCTTTTAACAACAGCTTCCACTTCAACAGTAAATAAAGGATCAATCTAAGTGAGACAGAAACACCACAGAGACAAGTGAAACCTGCTGGTTTTCATCAAGGAAAGCAGAAATGACTTAATCTGAAAGATGAAATAAACAATAACACAAATAATTATTTATATCATGAGCAAATCATACTCTGAAAATCCTGTATTTGCAGAGATTGGGGTCAGTTGGGGTCGGTGGCCAATCTGATTAATTGCAATGTGGGATTTGTGTGCATTAGCAAGCCCGCAGAAAAGTCAAAGCGTCGCAATTTAGGTCAAAGATGTTGCCAAGCAAGCTGCTACTTTTTTTTCTTTTCCATTTTATAGCTCATGAAATTTCTAAATAACATCTGCTTTAAAGCACTTGTGCATTACAAATCAAAGAATCTGAATTGTTTTTGAATCCCGGTTAAATCTGGGACTAGGCAGTCATTGTTAATCCAGCAGGGGATAAATCACGATAACTGCTGTAGTAACGAACACAAATAATTTAGGCACAGATTCTTTGCTCTTCCATGGTAAATCAAAAGAAATCAGAAGTGAAGGAAGTGGCCAGTCAGAAGAGGAAGGCTAAGTACCTCCATGGTGAATGTACCATACCTTCCTTTAGCCTTTGTGCCATTTTGCCCAGTTTCTTGTTTGTGAGCAAGTAATATAAACTAAAAATAACATTATTGAAAACATTTTGAGATGTATTTTATTCAATAATAGTAGAGAACATAGTGCACATTGTGGGGGAAGATAAGTCCCAGCCACAGAGGAGCAGGATGTGTCATCGCTGACAAACTGACCTGAATTTTCTTCTTAATGACAGATGCTGTGCAGCCAGAGCACTTATCACTTGAATGAAGTAGCAGCGGATTTATTGTACCTCATGACAGCCGGAGCAGCATTTACGGTAAATTCATTAGTAAAATTATGGTGGAAATGTTAAATAATTGAGGGAAATTCTGGCCATCCTACAAATGCATGTTTATAATAATAATAATGATTATAATAATAATACAAATAATAATACACTGTATGTCTTTGGATTTCTCTAAAAAACAAACGAGCACTTTCAATGTGATTCAGTGGTCTCGAGATGAATCACACTTCCCCTGAACCATTTCATCAAACAACAAAGCAAAGCGCAGCAAGAAGCGGCAGTCAGACAGTGAATAAGCCCCTAGCCACGTCTAATTGAGTTGTTTTCGAACAAATCTTAAGAAGAACATACCTTTTGCCTCACAACACTGTTTGAAAGAAAGAACAGACACAAACATACTGTACACTGGTGGCATATCAAAGCAAGTCAGGGGGAGAGAAGATAAAGACAAACACAGAGAGAAATCAATGAGTGCGAAATTGGAAATGAAATGAGTGAAAAAAAGAACAGTTGTAAGAGCACTCAGGCTGCTGCTGATATAACCTGACTCTAACATAAAGGTGCAATCAGAAAAAAAAAAGAAAAAGAGTCATGTTTAAATACTCCCTCTTTTTGGCTGACTGGTTGATTTATGAATATCATAAAGGCAGGCTTCAAAAGTTAAATAGTTATTTTGTTTCAAAATATTTGCCATGCTTGACAACAATGTCAATGTCTTCAGGAATGATACACAGGGTGATGGTGTGTGACAGGACTGCAAACTGCTTTGGCTGTTATTTATACTAACATGAGGTAGGTCTTTACAAGTCCCTAGTAAAAGGTAAGAGCTAATCTGGAGTAGGCCATGCACGACTACCAAGCAGAGAGCCAGTTTGACAGAAAAATTACCAAGACCACTGATGCCGCTGACCCTCGCCCTATTTGCATAAGATTGCCTTTTTCCTCCTAGGGCTGCCAGTTAATTCCAGCTAAACAGCTAAAGCCAGTATCTCCGCCACATCCAATTAGAGGCCGCTAGAAGTCCCAGGGACGGTTTCTATGTAGATACAACTGAACAGAGAGTCACGCTACAAAGGGAGTGTTAATGATTGTGTTCTTACCTTTGGCCCAATAATGACCAGAACATTCAGTGGATTCTCATAATGCCACTCTGAAAGATACAAGTAGTAGTCATGGAAACAAAAACACAACACAAAAATATATCAGCAGCAGATCATCTGTAAATTACTTACAGCTATTCTTGCTTGGGGCAAGGTACAGTATGTTCACATTTTTAGGCATGTGGGTAGCACAATTTAGTGTGAATGTGAAAATACATACATTTTGTTCTATTATCTCAAAGAATCCCTGTAGTGCTTTACCATAACTGTGTGCAACATAATGAAAGTCATATACATTACAAGGAGGACCCTGATGTTGCTAATTAATTATCACGGTTGAACATATGAAGATACATAGTCAAGAAAGAAACAGGCAAGACCCAACAAGATAACAAGGGAACATTACTTTGTAGGGCCAACATGATCTAAGGAGAATCTCATTGCAAGTTCACATACATGTTTTAATTAGCTGAAACTCAACTGCCGAGATGTAACTTCATTTCTTATTGATGAGGACATAGCTATTGCATCTACCACAGGTTACAACAGACAGTCAGAAAGGCTTTGCATCTGGGTTTACAGGACATTAAAGAGAAGTGCGGCACCTTTAGATGTACAATAAAAGTGTTCATGGTAAATGTAGTCAGTTTGTCATTATAGCAAGAACTGAGGAATGTATTCCTTAACTCACCTACATTCACCATCAAAACTGATTGAAAGTACACAGAAAAGGTTTTTCCCTTTAAGGTTGAGCAAGCTTGAAACAAGCTCAGTCTTTAGCTGGGCTAATTGCCAAGTTACTCAACTATGATGTTGATAACATTGTTTTATGTTTTTCAATACCAGTTTATTGTATAATAGATGGTAAACAGAATAAAATGTAAGGTATACCTGAAAAAACCTCCACCAGATAAAGGGGGTCCTTGACTCGTCTGAGTCCACAGACCAAGAGGAAGACACGCAGCTCATCCACGTGCTCTATGCTCGCATCTGGAGAGGAGCCAGACACACAGAGAGAGCACCAAAATATCAAAACACTGCATAATGAACATCCCGAGTACATCGACGGATAATGAAAGCAATACATCACCCAAGGTCATGAGGAAAATAAGACAGCAGTGACTAATGTGCTTGCACAATTCTCTGATCAGAGTTGTAACACACGGCAGGGAAATAGACTGCTGAAAGCATGGGAAGGTTGAAGCCTAATCAGTGTGTAATGCGGCATCATAACTACAGAGCAGTGTTCGGGTGACAATTTGCTCACTGAACAACAATAGATTAAAATGAGCTAACCCAACATCACATAACAAGATCAAACATTTTCAGAACCTTGCTTTTAAAGGGAGGCAGAACCACTGAATCTGCTCTTTTCCCAGATCATCCAACTTTCTGGATCAATCCAGAGATTAGTCAGAAGCTGGTCGGCATTCAACTGTGAGCCCTGCCAACAAGCACTTTCCTGCACCTGACCTTCCATAAGCAACAGACACAAGTCATGCCCCTTACAACACTAGATTACCATGATGGCAACACTTGAATTACCTTTAATAATAATAATAATAATCCTTATATTTATTATAGCGCTTTATCAAAGACTCTCAAAGCGCTTTACAAATACACATTACACATACAGATCATACATGTAATGGTCATATACTGTGGACAATACCCACAGGAGCAAATTCGGGTGAAGTGTCTTGCCCAAGGACACAACGGCCTGACGCAGTGGGGCGGGAGCGGGTTTCGAACTGGAGTTCCCCAACGCCCCCTTGATCTGATGATCAAACGCACAGACCACTGCGCCACCCGTCCCTATGAGGGACATTTTTTTAGTGCCTGACCGCTAATGATCGACAACGACCAAATAAGTGAAATCCTTAGTGTTGAGATAGTGCTGCTAGCAGTGTCTGTTACAAACAAACCATGTGGAAATAAAACCGCAGACAGACACAAGCAGGTGCTTGAAGCACAGTGAGAGTAGAGTGAAGTCCCCTGATGCCAGATAAGTCCAGATCAGGAGGCTGAAGCAGCTCTTTAATGCTATTAAAGAGGATCTTAAAATGACAGCGTGGTGTCTGGGCATTGACCCTAATTCAAAATCCAATTGTCAAAAAAGCTCTTTATCTGAGGGATGTATTGAACTTACAAAGATGTATTAGATGAGAAAGCATGTCGGCCGAGGTAACAAACATGTCACTTTCTCAGAAAATAATTGAGGATAGCTGGAATTATACAAGAGCACAGATGTGTCAAAGTGAGTAAAACATTCTAAGAAATATTATGATAAAACAAAATCCCCTTTGGATCTAAGGCACAATTCATCTTTCCTTGGGGGAGTAAAACACAATTGTACAAATCATCTGTTCTGCAAGCAGTTCTGTCTGTTCTATGCAAAACACTTTTTGTTCATTTGCCTTTGATTTCAGAAGGGCATTCTGAACAGTCCTTAAATCAGTATGTTTGTAAATGTGTGTGCATTGATATGAGAACATCTTTTGAACAGCTGCTTTTAATCTGTCGTATGGAACAGGGTAATTAAGGCAACATATATTGCAGCGGGGGACCACACACACACACACACACACACACACACACACACACACACACACACACACACACACACACACACACACACACACACACACACACACACACACACACACACACACACACACACACACACACACACACACACACACACCACACACACCACACACACACACACACACACACACACACACACACACACACCACACACACACACACACACACACACACACACACACACACACACACACACACACACACACACACACACACACACACACACACACACACACACACACACACACACACACACACACACACACACACACACACACACACACACACACACACACACACACACACAGGATATATTGTACCAACAAATCTACACTGGTAAGACATATTAACCTAATGCTGATGTTTGATGATCACATATTGTGCTGTATATGTGAAGTTTTAAAGACGCTCAACAGCTCTGAAAGGAAGATAACATGTGTGCGCTTTGGCTAGTTCCCTTCTCTTAGGAAATATGTCTTTAAAATATATTTTGTCGGAAAACAAACTGTCATTTTTTCTAGCATGTGATAAAGCTGTGTTAGTGATGTATTTTTTAATGTCTACACATTCCACGAAAACTCATCATGGCAATATAATGAAGCCATTTTCAAGCATGACGTGTCCCCTATGGCACAAACAGTGTTCTCTGATCATGGTCCCACACCATAAGATGACGGTAAGCATTAAACCTGACATCTAACCTTACCTCATCTCTTGATTCTTCATTAAATTATACCAATTCATGCGCACACTTGAGGGAAAGCTTCTTATGTAACTCATGTGATATTCATGCTATCCCTTGAGGATCAGGTAGCTTGACAAAATGACAACAACAGAGCCTCTGCATGTTTACTCTCACCCTTCAGGGATTCAAAGCATTGCTGTTCCTCATGTATGCCCCTACCTCAAAAGGCACGCATTAGGGGCCGTACACAGAGTGGCTTTTATGGCCTGACACCTTTGGATGCCAGTGCTGAAGTATGTGTGCCTTTGGAAAGTATTCAAAACCAAAAGGATAACACATACATACAGTATAGTCACATATCTTCAGTTAGATTTTCTGTTCACAGACGGATGTATTTTAGAGTGTGCCTCCAGGCCACACAAAATATGTTTATTCCAAACATTCAAACCTCCACACACACTTTAATTAAACAAGCCTACTTTCAATATACTACACTTTGTCTTTAGTAATGATTGATTTATCAGAATACAAGTTGCCGCAAGAGTCAATTATTTCGGCCAACGCAGTTATGTTTGAGCAAAACTAAAACATGATGAGACTAATTATTTGAGAGGACAGAGCAGGTAATGAAAGTTCAAAAGGAGAACATGGAATATCTCATCTATTAGACAGCAGAAAAAAAACTTTTTAGTTTTATGACAAGGCACATTTAACAACAATTAAAGATAGATTGCATGATCAGTTAACATTGTATATAAATGCAGCTCTGTGAATTAGGGCCGTCATTTTGACATAAAAACACAATATGAAGTTTGCTTAATGCTGTGGTGATAACACCATGGCAAGGAAAACGTTTTTTTTTTTTACTGACAAATAACACAGATCATTTAACACAGTCAGACAGCACATATGCAGTCAATTCAACAATGTGTTCAGCTCCAAAAGGAACCCTGAGTTGGATAACAGTGCTTTAACACATCACTGAGGAAAAGCACAATAGTAGTGACTCTGATTTCAACTGGAACAAATGTAAAAGTGACTCAGGGCAATTAGTATTTCTCACAGCGTTTGTGAATTGTTGTGACAAATGGCCCCAGGCCAGAGAGCTATTAATCAAATGTTCCTCTCTGTACCCAACTGTGCTCTCTATGAGCACTAATGTACCTTGGATGGACATCATTTTGCAATGTCCAATTTAAAGTCTGCGCTGCTTGCGAAGAGGATGCTCAGAGTAACAGTGCATATTAACTGAGCTATTCAAAAGGGAGAGGAAGACTGAAGAAGAGTGTTGAAAGGGTAATTCAGCTACAAACTCTGGCCTCTTGGACAATCAGACACATTGAATATAGCTCAGAGTACATTTATGCTCTTTGATTGGTACTTTTAGGATGGGATGTATGATTGCTTTCCCCATTGTGCTCTCAGTGATGGCTGCCCAGCTCTGCCCTGCACTACACGATTGGACACTATGTCCAATTGTGCAGGTGAGAAGCATGCCGTCTAGAATATAGCAGAGGGCTATTATGTACAATACTGCAAATGGTTTAAAATATGTGACACACCTTGGTATACTGTAGCTGGTCAAAACGACACCGATAAAACCTATTTTACAAGGGATCTTAACTTTTAGTGTGCATGTACCTTTTCATTTTATTGCATTGACGTTTTATCCAGCACCTGTCCGTAAGTTCAACCAGGAAGACCGTCTATTCACTATTCCTACGTAACTACTCTCTCTCCTCTCAATAAGTGATCGGGGGCGTCACTCTCCAGCTTAACCAATCACTTCGCTCTATTCCCAAGAGCCTATAATAGCGCTCTGCCAAACCTTTTAAATCTGCTCTCCCCCCTCTGACAGCTGTCATTTCAGGTGACTCTACGCAACCCTCCTCCGACCCTTTTCACCTCCTGTCTCTCTGAATCCAGGGTCAAGCTAAGGCACTCCTCTTCGGACCGAACCCAACCATCCATTCACCACCACCAGTGTCTAGACCCCAGGGGGGTTTCATCGGATCGGTTCTACCCTCCCGAATGATACTTCCTGCACAACGGGGCCTAATCGCCAAAATCACCATTACATTCATTTGTGTATCTTGCAATAAATATGTATTCTTGCATCAAAACCGTCTCTCCTGATTGAAATAAGGTTGTGTAGATGTGCCAACAACTATTCCTGCTAAAGTTTCAGACATAGCCTTAATAATAAGACGAGAAACGACTTGCAGCTATCCAAAGCATGACACATACTTATCACAGATGTATGATTCTGCCCTGCTTTGTAAGTGTTTTTTCATCCTTAAGTCCTGTACTCTTGATGACCCTTAGATTATTTCCTAAATTCCTACTAAAGGCAAGAACACTAAATAGTAAACAAACAAAACAAATGTCCTGAGTAAGGCCTGCTGATAATCAAGTCAAACATTAGGCAATAGGTGAAAAAATAACCAACATAAGTAGTAACATTACCTGAGCTCCTCAAGAATTCACTCCAGCAGAATTTCTCACTCACTTCAGTCTGGATACCTTTAAAAATAAAGCAGTTTTCTTGTCAGAACCTTTACCGAACAACAATGTAATAACCATTATGTAGAATCATATCAACAGGTTCTTTGTTGTTGTATAGATTAATAACCCTAGCGACCCTAACCCTTAAATAAAGGGTTTGTATACACCCAAAAGTAGAAATATCAATCACATCCAATGTTCATGATAACCTTAGATAGATAAATAAGTACCTTATTGATCCCAATTGGGACATTTTTGAATTGATATTGGACATACATAGTGTTTGTATGACTTATTCATACATCTTAATTCTATGTAAAATAAACAAAATCGACATACTTAAAAACCTTTTTATGAGGTTTGTGTCAAAAGTGCTTCAGTGTGATCACTATCTGGGGAAAAGCATTCAAATCAGCTTCCACTGGTCAGAGCTCAGCGATGCAGCTGGCACAGGGCTCTGCTCTAATCTATGTAGGGACTATTTGCCATTGGAGGCTGCGGGTGGGAAACAACATGGAAGAGTGATTTGGGCTGTCCTCCATGGTGAGGTGGCCAATGGCAAGAGCAAATACAACTCTGTACTGCAGACAGCATGATAATGGAGGGAAAACATGTCAAAGCTGATAATGCAACACTTCAATGGCGAAAAAGGGATTCACAGAATGAAGCGAGGATATTCATCAGGCAGAGCTTACCTTGGGGCTGCACATAGATTCTACTGCTCTGGGACAGCTTCAGAGAAAAATAACAGAGGAAAACAATTCTGATGAAAACAAATTCAAAACAAAAATACACAAGTGTTTTGAATCAATCAATTCTGAGTGTTTGTTTATATAAATTACATTTGATTATTGCTAACTGTGCTTCTTTCTCTTGTTGTCAGACAATAGAAGCCAATTAAAGCTGTTTGTGCTCCAAACACATTTCATCTAAATCCAAACTTTAAAAGAGAGTCAGGAAAGCAGTTGGTAAAGATAATGGGGGTGGTAGTAAATACATCACAGGGGATGAAGAGGATATTGACTGGATGTTATCACAGTAGATTCATCCCCTGTGTAAAAGCATGGCGATGCCTCTCAGTGCCTGTCCTGTCTGCCTGCTGTCAACACTAAATGGCAGAGATAAAGCATGCCACTCGCCTCAATCCGCAGCCTACGGCTAGAATCTCATCTTAAAATAAAACATGATAATATTGTCTTAATGGCTAACTATTACGAGGCAGGGCAGCATATTGTGTTTGTATAGTAAAAGCCCTTTAGTTATATTTATTGGAGCTGTCAGGCTATTACTGTGTTTTGTAGTGTCGTAAAAAGCAAACAAAAAACGTTTGCTCTAACTGATTTTTTATAGTAGCTTTGTAAAACAGGGGTCAATTGTTTGTAAATGTTATCACCTTGGAGGTATTAGTTGCTACGTTTATGTGAGTGATGTTACTGTAACAACCATGGCACATGAAACACAGGCAACACGTGCAAGCATCAGTGCTTATTCCAACCACTGCTCTATTCAAATGCAAAAGACATAATCATACCAAATATAATTCTGCTTCTTCTTTCAATTTGTCAGTGAATGCAACTGCAAACCTGTCAGACAAAAAAAAAAAATTATCACCCCTTTGAAATTAATATAATTAAAACAAGAATGTAATTGGCGGCAGTACGTTTTAGAAGTTTTCAAGCAGTGACAATTTTCACAATAAAAGAGGAAAAAGCAGTGGGAACAGAAGTTACACAAACTTCTCTATGCTAAGGCTGAACACGTGAGAGCAGAACGAGTGCTTGTGGTTTGAAGACAAAGGATTCAAGAATACAGAGGGAAAAAAATGAAATGTGGAGCAAAAAGTACAGTGGCGAATATGAATTAGCCCAGTGTGAGCATGCACAAGTTAAATGGCCAAAAGGCTCAGATATCTTGATCAAGGCTGTGTGAGAAGGCACTAGCAGCGGGAGGTGCGTGGATATAGATGTTTGAAGTCACAAGACCTGGATCTCCCCAGTTCTCCCAGAAGGCAATTATCCCTTTAGATTTACTCAATGCCAACTATTTCTTATCATAATAGTAACCGAGCCACCAGGGTTCTGATGTTAAGGCACAGAACAGGATATGGATAAGCTTTTTTCATTGTTTAACTATGGGAGGAGTGATCACACTAACTGCACAGATGTATTTGGCCTTTATATGTTCCTAATACTTTCATACCAGTTCTTTGTTTGATGTCCAGTCTTTTTACCCAAACACATATTTGATACTCTTGTCCATATGATTTTTATAGCTTGAAAAATAAAATTGGTGATCATAATTGCTTCAGTTGTTGGAGCTGAGCACTGAATACTTAAAGCATTACTGGTCAATAACACTACATGTGTTTCACTTGTACATATATAGTGATTAATGACAATATATCATGTATGCCAAATGGTCACAACTGTGGCAACAACTTTACTTTGAGCCTGTGAAGCTCTAATCTTTTCCTAGACTTCAAAAGCACATGATTAATACAATTTGAGATTAGAGAGTTATCTTCAGAGATATCTTGATTGACACGAACCATTTCAGTTAAGCGTAAACTATAAAATGTACTTCCTGGTTGCACTTCAAGATGGTGACATCTGCATTAAAACCTCTGTAAAAGGAAGTAAGCGACATATTGTGTGAGACATTACTGGCAAATGTGGATATAAAAAATGTTAACATTTATATCACTCTCTTAACGGATAACTTGTCATATAAATAGTCCCATTGCATTTTATTAGTTGCACGTGTGCTTTTCCTGCAATAAAATGTTTAAAAGTCTGCCATATAGTATGGCAAGACGATTTAGCTTTTATTCATTTCTGGAGGATATAAAAAAATCAATTCTTACTAGTAAGAATGCAAATTCTTGATATAAAAAATGCATTCTTACTAGTAATAATGTTTATTTCTGATATCAGAAATTCAATTGTAACTAGTTGTAATGTGTATTCTTGATATCAGAAATGCAATTTTAACTAGTGAGATTTGCATCGTTTTTCTCATTCATTTCAATGGCAGTTGGAATTTGAACTAGTCCAAATGCCAATTTCTGATATCAGTAATTCAATCGTTACTAGTTACAATTACATTTGAACTAGTAAAAATACCAATTTCTGATATCAAGAATTCAATTTCAACTAGTCGAAATGCCAATTGTTGATATCAGGAATTCAATTGTAACTAGTTATAAATACAAATGTAATTATAACTAGTAACAATTGAATTCCTGATATCAAAAAAGGATTTTGAACTAGTTTAAATTGTATTTCTGATATCAACAATTGAATTACTGATATCAGACATTTGAATTTGTACTAGTTCAAATGTAATTGTAACTAGTAGGCTACCAATTGAATTACTGATTCAAATTGCAACTCCCATTGAAATGAATGAGAAAAACGATGTAAATCTCACTAGTTAAAATCGCATTTCTGATATCAAGAATACACATTACAACTAGTTAAAATTCAATTTTTGATATCAGAAATAAACATTATTACTAGTAGGAATTGAATTTTTGATATCAAGAATTTGCATTCTTACAAGTAAGAATTGATTTTTTGATATCCTCCAGAAATGAATAAAAGCTAAATCGGCTTGCCATAATATGGACCCTATATTACACATTTAAAATTCAGAAGCAAAACAAATTGTTCTCCACGGATATCAACAGACAAAGACCTTTTATGGGTTAAAATAGTTTGCATCAACATCACCTGGCTTTCTGTAGCACCTGCTCCATAACCACACGCTTCTGCTCAACTTTCACATCTTCATTTATATCTGTTCCGCCAAAGATAACACCAAAGGGTACTTGGATGTCTGGTGTAAAGGTTAGACATAAAACAGAAAGATCCTGACATTTATAGGACAGGTAAGTGTACTTGTATGTCTTATATTATTTTTTTGACAAAAACACATGACTTAAAGGTATATGGATAAGTGAATAGATCATGACAGCAAGGATGTTTACCTAAGAGAAGTCTGCCTGCTTTAAACAGATGGATGGCCAGTGCACCCTCAAATGTAGGATTACTAGATATCAGGTTTGCCACCTCAGCAGGAGACTGAAACTCTGCTGCATCTCTGAGCTCACAGGTGTGTCCAGCTGATTCAATGTGGGACCTAAAACAAAATAAACATGACCATGGATAAATAAAGTTTCAAACATCAAAGCTTCATTGGAAAAGCCTTGTTGTAATCCTCAAATGTTGTGTTGTGTCCTTGTTGTTGTTGTCTACAACTATCCTTCTAAAGCTGCATATTACTGTATCAGGTTATAGCTGATATACTAAAGCCAAAGTGCACTAAGGTAGGTAGTTAAATAATTATGTTACAGATGATTTTTTAAATAAATTGTACAGTCAAGTAGACCATTTCATTATGACACAGCCTTGGCTTACAGTGAACTACATTGCTATTGCCTAATGCAGCTTCAACAGGTAAGTACTAATTAGCTGTTGTAGCTAGCTTAGCAACAACGTAAATTACCTTATTCTCTCAGCTGTAGTGTGGTTTCCAGTTTTAGGACTGAGGCAAGCAAGAAAGAGTAATTTCATATCTTCACTAATGGCCGGTATGACGAGCTAACTAGTTAACATGTAAACATTAGTGAAAAACAGGTTGAAAAATGCAACAAGCAGAGCCTCTAGGTGCTGGTTCAGTAGGCTCGCTAGCTGAACTCGTATCACATTTCCTGAACCCATGCCTGCAAGTTATACGTAGAGCAAAGCTACAGAGTACAGAGTACACCCCACACGCCCCACACGCCCCACACTTGAAATGTCTACAAGTCCGTCTCCTATATGTTCCCCTGGAAACACATGACGGTAGCACATACTGTACAGGCCCTGTTGCCCCATATCAGTATTTAGTTTCGAGACGAATATTTAGGACTAAGTAAAAATAAAACGACAGGCAGCTTCCTGTCTGCTGACAGGTTTGTCATATGCAGTATCAGCGATAATAAAACATGAAGAAAAATAAAACAACCGCATCACCACTTCCTTGTATCGATGTACGCGCCTGCGTAAAAGGAACAAATCTACAAATCTCATGGATGGGCTGCTGCCGCATTACTTTGCTGCGCATGCCGGGTACATTTCACTTATAGATCGTCTCCAGGACTATGCAAGTGTGACCGTTTGTTGACTGCGAGCATATGTCACGCGATAGTACGGTGACACTGTTTTTTGTTGACTTCCAGTTCTCCTTTGACAAAGTAATGATTTAAGACGGGTCACAGTAAATGTTTGAGCGGTACATATTATATAGGTTCATGGAGATCATTGAATACAACTGGGACGTGTTTCAGTCATATTAACGGTAATGTAAACACAAACTTATTAAGCGTTCGTTTAGCTAAAGCTAGCATACTTTAGGTGTGTATTAGTTGCCTGTATACATACTGTATTATAAGGAAGGGGTTCTTTGACAAATCAGATGTGAATTCTGTATAGTTAGCTGTTTTCTCTGTGTTCACACTGTTGACAACGTTTGTCTTACGTGTTTGACATCCTCTGTATTTTCTTTACAGATTTGAACTCTCTCTAATTAAGAATAATTGAGTTAGTCAAGAATGTCTAACAACAGGGATGCCAATGAGAGCACCCCTCTGTTGGACTCTGGGAACATACCTTCACCACAACCATCAGTTTTCGAGGGAAGAAGATTAGCATGTGCAACTATCCTGCTAGCTGAATCATTAGAAAGGATAGCTTTCTATGGCATCACATCCAATCTAGTCCTTTTTCTCAATGGTAGTCCCTTTTATTGGCAGGGCACCCAGGCGAGCCAGACACCTCTGATGTTCATGGGAGTAACATACCTGATTTCACCATTTGGAGGCTGGTTGGCGGATGCATACCTTGGAAAATTCTGGACTATTGCTTCAAGTTTGATCCTATATTTTCTTGGCATGCTATTTTTCCCTTTCATCTCAAATGAAGATACCAGGACACAGCTATGTGGAGACGAAGGGGCATTTCCTGTGCAACCTGCTGAATGTATGAGCATAAACAGTACCCTTTCAAGCAATGTAACCTGCCCCATCCGTGCCCCATATTGTGGCCCGGTGATCTACAGTGGCCTTTTTTTAATTGCATTAGGAGTAGGTACCGTGAAGTCCAACATCACTCCATTTGGGGCAGATCAGGTAAAGTATGAGCCATATTACTTCCAGATCTTAAAGTCTGTCTTAATAAATAAGAGTGTTCAAAGTAGACATGGAGATTTTTGTTCAGACATACATAGGCCTGTATAAGATTAGGTATTCAGTGTGACATCATTGAGGTCAAACCGGTCAAACATGTGATTTCCTTTGCACCATGACAGTTCACTTAGACATGCATCTTCCTTTTTGAATAATCTTTTATTGCCATCAGGAAGTGAAAAAGAACGCTGTTTGGTTAGTTTGAAAATGTCAGCACTTCTACAAGAAGCTGTCATATAATATGGACAAGTTCATCAATGGGGTGATTGTTTTCAAAAATAATCTAACTATGAGAAGTTAAAACCTCTCCCAGTGAACCGGGAGGGTGAACATGATTAGTTCCTGATTCCACTACGTTCATTACAAGTTCCTCACGTCTCTGTCAATGCTCCTTTGGATCATGTTCAAACATACACAACGGTGACAAAGCACACCATCAAGCAAAGTCCATACATTGAGGGACACAAATAAACACAGAGACGGGTACGCCCGCACACGACAGAAAACATAACGGCAAAATATAGAATACATATTCGACAGTTTCGAGCAAAACAAAATTATAGAAACTGACAACATGTGACTTGTTTTTAACTAGAGCAATATGATCTGTGTCACTTAGAGGTACAATTTCCCTTCATATTTTCCTCCAGCTCGAAGTCTAATTGACGAATAGTTGGAACTGCTAATACGTGAAATTTGCTTCGTTTTAGTCAAATGTAATATTTTATGATATAATAATATGATATATGATATAATTATAATAGTTATATGATATAATTTTATGATATAATTTTATATGATATGATTTCTGGCAAAAAAATGATTTTACCCTCTTTCTATGTGGACATTGCCTTAGTTGTTTCTACAGTGATTTAAAAAAAAGAATATACAACTTGATCTCAGTAATCATAAAGTTAGAGGATTACTGGAGCTGCGTTCTGTACAGGCAGCGGATGATGGATAGAGTTTGAAACTGGGACATCGAATAAAAGCAGGACACTGTGTGGCAGCTTTTTTTGGTCTTTTTATGAGTCACTGCAGATACAATGTCTACCAGCATATGATCATTGTAATATTTATTCCTGATCATATTCTGTATTTGATGGATGGTCAACATGTCTTGTCCTGACGTGGCTAAATGCTGGAGGGAACACAACCACTTTCTCCGATTGATCTTGTGTCAAAACTAAATGTAGGAGCTATTAAAGTACGCTTCTCTATGTATGCATTATTTTTAGACTTCATTATAATGCAATTGTAGATGATACCTGGCAATTAGATGGTCTGAATCAGATAAGAAATAAACAAAAAAGTTGCAGTTTATTATAAGTTATAAAAAATACTTCCACTCTTTTTACCTTATTCTTCTATCAATGTTATATTGCTATTAAAATATGCCACCCGGCGACAGAGCTGCTCAAAATGTATCATTATCACTATAAAAAAGTAATTTGGTGACTTCTCATCCCCTAGTCTGTCTCAGCTTGGTCCTCATCATCAGAGCAGTTTTGTCTCTTCATTTATTGTCAGGATTTTAAAAGCTGGACTTTTAAAAACAGCTTGTTGCTTTGCCCATTGCAATTGCCTTTCACATGCACACATGTCTCTAGAGTTAACTTCCTTATGTGACTTTCAAAACTTGCATATCAAAGTGCTGATGAACACAGTTCCTTTTATAGCTGACCTTTGCTGCTAGTTTACCATCGATCTGATTTGACACTCAGCTGTAAAGATTTTTAATGTTCAAGATATTTTCTATGAGACACATGTTGTGTTTATTTCTCCCTGTATGTGTGACCAACTTACAATGACATCGTTTGTTGCTCTGTATGTGATCTTAGGTCAAAGACAGAGGACCCGAGGCCACGCGCCGATTCTTCAACTGGTTCTACTGGTGCATCAATTTGGGAGCTATCCTGTCTCTGGGAGTTGTGGCCTACATCCAGCAAAACTACAGTTTTTGGGTTGGCTACACCATTACCACCGTGTGCCTCGGGATATCCTTCATTGTCTTCCTCCTGGGCCGTACTGTCTTCATCACCAAGCCCGCTGATGGCAGCGCCTTCACAGACATGTTCAGGATCCTGGGCTCTGCATGCTGCTCCAAGAAACCAAAGGAGCCAAACCTTCTCCGGTGAGAGCGACATCTCTGTGTTGGATATTTTACAGCATTGTATGTAATAATGGGAAAAAGATGACGACGATATGATAACAGATGTTAGAAAAATATCACTCGTCACCGGCTTGAGCTTCAATATCAGGATACATGTATTTATTATCCTTGCAAGAATGGAATTAGTCATCACATACAGAGCATAAGGTACAACAAGTTCCCGAACAGTGTCCTTCACATGCTTATATACAAGAGAGTCACAAGATGCAGAATACCCGTTCAAAGCAGTATACAATGTTTAGTTTAGATTAACTAAGACCCACGTCGGAAATGATCATGCTGGTCACATAGAGGCTGAATCATCATGTTAATCGTTGTCACATAGCTATCATATGCCTAACACAGTGTGTCCTGACGCTCTTCCAGGTGATCATACATCCTGTCATGTACACAGCTAAAGTTGGGCCTTTGTTATCATGTGCTACTCTGATATTGAAAGAGTATATTGAGTATTTTCCAAACAATAAAGTAATTCCCTGAATGACAAACAGCACACTCACATTATATGTGAAATAGCAAAGCATTTATCCATCCCAGTAGGAAGGCTCTTTCCAACAGAGTAGCAAGTATTTTTGATCATGGCAAATGTTGACTCCTGTGGATAGCACAGGTATACCTCTATGTTAAAAACCGCCTTTGATCCCCCCTATAATTATTTTCTACCCACCAGTCCAGGCATTTATCTTCATTCCCTGTGGCGCAAAGTTATTCTGAAGTACTGTTACTTGACTTTGAACCAAAGTAGCACAATTGGTTCAAAAACATGACATTGAATATTTTAAGTTTGCCAATCCCACAGCCTTTCAACATTTTCTCCAGAGATGTGGATTATAGGCTTTAAAAAAAAAAAAGAATCCCTTTTCTATAGAAGTGCATTCATTTAAGGGTGTTCTCAAAAGGGCTGATTAAGTCTCAAACTTCAAGAGTTGAGAGTCATTTATCTGTGTTCTATATTTATGTGTTTATTGTTATTTAAATTATATAATATTTTTTTTTTTCTCCCCATGAAGCAACAAGCCAACACTGCTCGACAGTGCCAAAGTATCCTATGGAGGAAAATATCCAGAAGAGAAAGTAGAAGAAGTGAAATCCCTGGTGAAAGTCCTCCCAGTTTTATTTGCTCTTATCCCATACTGGACTGTGTACTTCCAGGTAAGGTCATACAAAATATACAAGCCATGTTTCCCACAAGATGAAAAACATGAAGGAATTAAACATGAGTATTTAAGATTTCTGGAAGCGCTTGTGTTAATAATGTGAGGGATGATTATTTCCTGCTTCAATGTTGGAGAAGAGTGTTTTTGCACCAGACACCCTGGTGATCATGAGGTGGAGAATTACCTCACGCTGAGACTCTAATCTTCTTATTGTGTTGCAGATGCAGACAACGTACATCCTGCAGGGCCTCCATCTGAGGATTCCT